CGGGACTGACACTTACATGCACCTTGGGGGTGGGGGGGAGCCCGTGGCAGGATGATCTCTGGAAGGGAGGGAAGAAGTCAGGGCCGTGGCGACAGCCCCAGCCTCCCAGCCTCCCAGCCCGTCTGGAGCACCCCCTCACCTCAGGATCGTCCCTGTGCTTCATGGTGGCCCAGGCAGTGGGGAGCAGTGGGGGGCTGTTAGGGCCTGGGAGAGGTGGGGGTGGGGTTCCTGCAGGCACAGAAGGGCTGTGAATTCCAGCTCTAGCCCCGCCCTGAGCCTATCTCCTGGTCCCCCAAGCTTGGACTCACCCAGGGGGCTGGACAGAGGGTCTTCAGCTGGAGGCTCAGCAGGGGGTGGCCCCAAGAAGGGGGCCCGCTTGATGGTTCCCATGGCATCGTCTGGGGAGTCCAGCTCCTGGCAGGAGAGTCAGGGGACCGAGCCTGGCTGCTAGGGGGTCACCGGTAACCCACCCCCACTGCACCCTCTCCGGCCCTCCCCCACTCCATACCTGGAGTTCTGAGGCTGGCCGGATGGTCAGGCTCCTGTCGGGGACGAACCAGAGGGACATAAGGTGGGAGATGTGACCAGGCCCCGGGTCCAGCTGCCCCCCACCCTTTCGGGCCCAGCCCCTCACCTTTCCTCCAGGGCCTCCTCGACTGACTGTAGCAGGCTCCTGGGCAGGAGGGGATGAGGTCAGAGGCCAGCCTTTTCTGCTGCCCCTCCCCCTTCCCTGTAGCCTCCCTCTCCCTCACTCACCCACTCAGCTCCTCCTTTCCCAGCAGCGTCCACTCCTCCTCCCACTGCGGGGAAACCGAGTCAGAAAGACCAAAAGAGAGTCAGAGACAAGAGAAGCAATGTGGGCGGGTGATGGAGAGACTGTGGGAAGGACAGGACGCACAGACAGAAAATGACACGGAAACAGGCAAGAGAATTGTGAGCGAGGGGGACAGCGAGAGGCAGAGAAACCACGCAAGAGGAGGACTGACAGCCAGAGAAGGGGACGGAGAGGCGCAAGGGCAAGAGGTAGGGTTGGACGACCAGGCTCGGATGCAGACGCGGCAGAGAGCTGGAGGAGAGGCTCGGGGTCTGTGACAGGTCTGCGTGTTAGAAAGGCATGGTCCCTGTGCCCGGGAAGAAGTCCCCCTCCCCCTGCACCGCCTTCGCTGTCC